AGGTGCTAGTTTCAAATCCTTTTTAGTCTGAAATCTGTATGCTAGATATTGAGTAAGGTGGTTTTATTGTTTTTTGTCACTTTGAATAATATTTCTGTTCATGTTAAAAACAAAATCAACTCTCTGTATAAATATATCAGGTGACCGTTAAGGCCCATGGGCCTCTTGTTTAGTGATTAAAAGCCTACTTCCCGGAACAGTTGCATATATATCATATGTATTTACTGCAATGCATTCCTGGGACCAGGGAATCAAATGTTGTGTAATTAATGAAGGTTGATATGAGGGGGGATTACATTTACATAACAGCAACTGTAAAGCATTTTCTACCTTGAATATCAGGTCACCAGGCTGTAGAACGAGTGTATCTTATAAACCAGGAGGATCAACCATTTTACTTCTCCTTTGAGGAAGATTCCTGTCACTCTGCGGGATATTCAGACCATCTTCATGTGGAGCCAATGTCGGGCAACATTCCGGCAAAATCCAGGTATGTCCAGTTATCACCTCTACTTAATCTCAAGTCGAATCCACGATAGGTAGATATATGCTAATATATTCAAGTGATGTATTCTTAGTTGTTAGGTAGATATATGCTTAGTTGTTAGGTAGATTTATACTTAGTTGTTAGGTAGATTTATACTTTGTTGTTAGGTAGATTTATATTTCGTTGTTAGGTAGATTTATACTTAGTTGTTAGGTAGATATATGCTTAGTTGTTAGGTAGATATATGCTTAGTTGTTAGGTAGATTTATACTTTGTTGTTAGGTAGATTTATACTTAGTTGTTAGGTAGATTTATACTTTGTTGTTAGGTAGATTTATGCTTAGTTGTTAGGTAGATTTATATTTCGTTGTTAGGTAGATTTATACTTAGTTGTTAGGTAGATTTTTACTTCATTGTTAGGTAGATTTATACTCATTGTTAGGTAGATTTATACTTAGTTGTTAGGTAGATTTATACTTCATTGTTAGGTAGATTTATTCTTAGTTGTTAGGTAGATTTATACTTTGTTGCTAGGCAGATTTATACTTAGTTGTTAGGTAGATTTATACTTAGTTGTTAGGTAGATTTATACTTAGTTGTTAGGTAGATTTATACTTTGTTGTTAGGTAGATTTATACTTTGTTGTTAGGTAGATTTATACTTAGTTGTTAGGTAGATTTATACTTAGTTGTTAGGTAGATTTATACTTTGTTGTTAGGTAGATTTATACTTTGTTGTTAGGTAGATTTATACTTAGTTGTTAGGTAGATTTATACTTTGTTGTTAGGTAGATTTATACTTTGTTGTTAGGTAGATTTATACTTAGTTGTTAGGTAGATTTATACTTTGTTGTTAGGTAGATTTATACTTTTTTTAGGTAGATTTTTAGGTAGGATTAATAAAGTTTTTTTTATTAATACCAGCAGTATAGTTTGAGTTGTATGTCTGCAGGATGACCAATACAAAGAATAGTTTTTTGTAGACCAATAAATGTGTTCCTGTATTTCATTTCAGGATGGCTGTAGATCTATATTTCACTCCCACCACAGACAAGGAAGTCAACTTTAACATTGTTTGTAAGATCAAGAAAAAGGTTCTGCCAGTCACCCTAAACGTGAAGGCCGAGGGGTATTCCATGAATTGCACTCTTACTTGTGAGGATTCTCAGGGTAACAAGCAGGAGTTCTTTCAGGACAGTCACAACATCATCAAGTTTGGAGAGGTAAAACTCACTCAGCTTACACTGCTTCTAGTATTCACAGTGCTAGTATCAGCTAACACTACAATCACAGTAATAAAGTCTAGGTATCACACGACCAGGGTATCAGCTAACACTACAATCACAGTAATAAAGTCTAGGTATCACACGACCAGGGTA